AGACACGTGTGCTCACGTGATGAGTGGACAGAAGTCAGATTTCACCTCAAAGCTGTCTTTTCAGAGAGGAAAAGCATTCACGCTGCAATCCGTCATATAGAAAACTAATTAACAAGTCCCTCAGGAAACAATTATTGTATGGGATTTGTCTCTGAATATTCCAAGTGCACAACTTTTAAGTGGCTTTATTGAAAAAGTGTATTCTCTTAGATTTTCATTGTGTTCACTGGCCTGAAAAGCCTGAAACTGTGGTGCAAAAGATAATTTTAAAATCTATTTTCTGATGAAATGAGTTTATTATCCTACAGCTTGGAGTCATCCCCTCAGATATACATGCATATAGGACCCCTCAGAAAATAGACTAATCAATGAAACAGATTGAAATTGGTACTTCTATTGAATAGTTTTCACAGACCTAAGCAGTTATTATTTAATTAATGTGTGGAAGTATTCAACTGGAACGTGCCTTTATGAAAAAAACATGAGAATAAATTTCTATTCTAACACACCTGTGGTCAGAATGAAAATTAGGGTTAGACTCATCATAGAAAGCTCAGGGGTTGTGTGTCACATACTCTTTGAAGCCTCTGAAGTCTGAAGGACTCTTTTATGTGACTGGGAATGCATGTGCTACATCATCAAGTATTCATAGGGGAGAAAGATGGGAACCATTCTCATGTGACTTCTTTCTTCTCCATAAAATCATATGTCAGCCAGATTTTTTTTTAATGTCACTTAAGGTTGGCATCTTTGCTGGAATAAATAAAATGCATGAGGACAGTCATCTGTATCTGACTCAGAGCTGAAGAGTAATATGTAATTTTTACCTTTCAGGTGAATCAGATACAGATACTAAAGCTTTCCCACAGAAAGACTGTATAGTTTCTCAAAAACCCTTTAGAGGTTTACGAACTTGACCCAAAGCCTATTGCAGTTGGGAAAATTCATGATCCAGTTGGTTTTCAATTGGGCTGTACAAGTCTTACTGATCTATTTATATGACCTTTTCATGGGTAAAAAAAAAATTTACTTTCAGATGTGGCAAAAACTTGAAGACTTAATTTTTAAGCTGTTAAGATTCCAGTGTTTTCTGGAATCTTAGGCAGCAAATATCTTCTACTTTGTGAAGGTAGAGGGACAAGTTCCAGTGCCCAGCCTGAAATCCATTACAGTTGTTTAACCAAAGCATCAATTCTCAGCACCAAGACGCTGCACTCCCAGGTTGGAACTATTGTGCAGAGTTGCCAGAGGTGGCTGGATGGCATTATGCATCAGTAGGAGGAGTATAAGTCAGCAAAATAAGACTTGTTTAAGAGTAGCTTTTAAGCAATAATAGAAATGCCATGACTGATTCCAGTCTCTGATCTCCAGTGTTAAATATGGGCAAGGGACTGTGATTCTCTCTACAGCCATCTGTGGGGAAGCAGAAAGTTTTAGTGATTGGTGGCAGCAGCTGGGGGAATTGTTCAGGTTTTTTAATGATCATGGCTGTCTCTGAAGATGCCTTGAACCTTCATATGACCTCCAGCTCCTCTGTTCATATGACCTCTCAGTCTCCTAGCCACAAAGCATTACAGGCATTCCCTATGCACCCATCTTCTTGACCTAGCAGAGCTTGAGAAAAAGTGAGGTTAGTGTCTTTCGTTATGATCTTCTTAAGCTCCACCATCCTAATCCATCCTGTTTCAGCCTCTGCTATTTCAGTGCAGTCTCAGGCATTTGAGAAAAGTTTATATGATTCTATGAGAAAAGGAGATGGAAAAATGCTGGCATAGGCTTTGCTATTGCACTAAAACAGTGATCTCCCTAAAGTCATGTGGCAGTGGCCAAAGGACAAGTCTTCCTTCAATATTTGGAAAAGAGAAGAGTACTATATCACAAGTCACTATGCAATGGTGACATTGCCTTCTCAACAGGGCTGCACAGTGTGAATGGGGCTCCTCACTAAAGTGGCTACACTATTTCATCTCCTGGAATGGATTTATTTCTACATAAACCATTATCTGCACAAAGTTGGGCTCTGGTCCATCATTCTAGGTGAATGGTTGCCACAGATGGAAACATCATTGGAAGAGGTTGGGAAAGGGTATACAAGGTGAAAAGGGTTGGTAGGTTGCACCTGAGTTGACTTTAAGTGGTAGTGTTGACCTTGTATATAAGGGTTCTGTGTCTCCTGGCAAGCCAAGAAAGAGCTGGGTACGCCTTCCTTAAGATGGTCAGGAGATGTAGATCTGGGCTACAGCTAATCTCTCTTGTAGTGAAGGCACTAAGAATCCAGAAGTCTGTAAAGTGCTGCAGTGCACCATGTTGAAAAGCTGAGCTTGTTTCTTGGTCTTTGTCCAAGAAGGTGGTGCACATTTGGTTCAAGTATTTATTTGTTTTGAGCAGAGGTCAGGATTGAGCCATGGGCGCTGAATGAAATCAAATATTTGAAAAGGAGTACCTTAACAGGCAGTAAACATTTCTGCTTTGACTGGCAAATGATCATTAAAAGCCTTTATTAAATTTTGCATCCGTTCTGTTCACCACTTAGCCATTTCTTTTCATTCTGAAGGATTATAACTAAGAATGAATGAGTCTTCTCTAATACAGTCACAATAATTCTATGAAAGAACTGAGTTATCTTTCTCCCTCATAGGCAATTTTTTCCAATTGTTTAACAAAATGTTGTTTTGTATTGCCATGACATCAGTCTTTACGCCTGTGAATAATGAGGCTCAACATTAAGCAACTTGTTTATAAAAAAACGGTCATGCAGTAAAAATTAGAGTGTTTAATGCACTTCCCCACTAGAGTCCATACCCTCTCCTCCCACTGACTGATCTTTCCACTGCAGTGTGAAGTTATTTGTGTCTTCAGAATGAGCAAACAGATCTTTTCAGTGAAAGGGTGAAAAATTTCTTGAGTTCTGCCGTATAGAAGTTGGCATCTGTCGTTCTTTGGAACAGGATCTCTGGTGCACCGATCCAAGCATTTGTCAGCCCCGGAGTGGAGGATGGCAGCTCACAGTATCTGAAGAAGGAGACTATCGCACAAAGCTTCCCACTGCTGAGAAACTGCTGCACCCATCATCATCCTTTCAACCCATTTAATACAGTTGTATTAGCCCTGTGCTCCTGTTCCTCCCCCAGCTCCCAGCCCACCTCCTTTTTAGTGTGAAATGTGTTTGGCTCCTCAAAGCAGTTACATTTCAAAATACATTTTGCTCTGTAACAAGAATAATCACAGTCCTCTGGGATAAAGCAGATCACAAAGCCTGAAATTGTTCTGCGATACCTGGGGGAAAGGTATCACAGAATCACAGAATCACAGAATCGTAAGGGTTGGAAGGGACCTCAGGAGATCATCTAGTCCAACCCCCCTGCTAAAGCAGGCTCACCTAGGTACTTGTGATGAAGGGTATTGGATAGATCCAGAATCTGAGCAACTTTGAGAAGCATTACAAAGTCTTTCCATTTGGTTAAATATTTCCACATAACTAGAACAACAGGCCCTAATTGTACCTCATCATACCACACAAGCAGAGCTAACATAAACAAGGTAACTCTGAAAACGATGTTCATATGCATTGTAGGTTGAGTTTCGGCTACGTGAAGGAACTAATCAGAAATACTGGAATGGCTCTTTCCATCACTTAAAACCAAAAACAATGCTCCCCAGTGTAATTTTCCAACAAGATTCAGAAAATAAATTGGTAGTTGCTCACAAAACAGGGGTGATAAGTATGGGGCAATGGAAACTCGATAGTAACCAGGGCAACTCAGCCACATTGTGAAAAAACCCACTCTGAGTCAGGGTATTTTCCTGTCACTGGGCTGTGGGGGCAGCTGAGCTGTTAGGGCTTTTCTCTGCAGAAGCTGTCCCACCTTCTCCAATACCCCGAAGCATCCTTTGCACTAGCAACAACAAATACAAGCTGTTGAGGAGGGCGGCCTCCAAGGAACATGGAACACCTTGGTTCTGAAAAGTTGTACAAAAATGGCACAGCTCCAACAGGAGAGGAGCTGTGTGGCTCCGCAAGTAGGTGCTCCTCTCAGGTGTGGAGGTCAGGTTCAAATTTCTCCTGAATCATCCTTCCTTGAGAAATGCCGTATAACAATGTATTAGTCTAAGCCAGTTACTTCATTTCTTCCCAAATAGTGCTGCTCTTGTTCTGGGTTTAGGCTGGTTTAGATTCACTGAAAATGAAATGAAATTATAGGCTGGGTGTAGATCCACTGAAAATGAAGTGGTATTTTTCATTTTTTTGAACTACGGGTGAATGAAAAATCATTTATTCCCACAGCACTAATAGTAGGCAACTGTTCATGGTGACAGAAGGAGAAAGGGTTATCTAAAGGTCAAAAAGATGGGTTTGGGGAGTAAGTATGTTGTTATAGCAAGTGTGACCTGGTATGATACATTTAGATTTGTTTCAGAAAAGGCTTCCTTATTCTATACTCAGTCCAAGAAATGCATTTCAAGTGAAATTTAATTAACAACTTGCAATTGGTACAGGCATCTTAAATGACACCATCTTAAAAATCATTTCCAGGCGCCAAGGTTTCCAAACAACCAAACCCATAATGAAAAGTAGCAAATACCCTCAACTCTTCAAAGGTTGTCAAGTATATTGTGGTCTTCAATTGTAAATAACCCCAAATAAGTACTCAGACAGCTGGCACGTTGTACCATCATTAGCCAGTGATCTCCAAACTGTGATTTGCAGGAGGAAAAGCTGCAGGACTAGAGCTCCCTGTGATAATACTGGTACATGTCATGTTTTCAATTAAAAGTTTGATGATAAGTGTCCCTGGTCATCTGTGGTGGAGAAAATTTGATGGTATAGTCTGTTATTCCAGAATGTTTGGATGTCACTTCCAGAAAAAAACTCAGACTTGAGGAGCAATTCTTGAAAGTGAATGAGAAAGTGCTTGTTGCTTTATAAACCCAGCTTGGTCACCAAAGGTAGGAACTGTGTAAGTATTCTGACCATTGTTGGGTTTTCACTTCTATTTTAGCTGGATGCTGAGAAGGCAAAATTAAAACTGGAAAGATGGGCTTCCCAAGATGCTGGCAGTGGGGGTGGAAGAAGTGAAGAGATGGAGTCAAGTGGGGATTGTGACGATGAGGATGGCTGTCAAGGATCCGGTGACAGGATTCACACAGCAGGTAAATACAATTCCTACAGGCACATACAGAGCTTAGAAATTCATAAATGTCACAATTAGGTGGACGGAGCTAAGACTTGCACTGTCTGAATTACTGTCAAAATCCTACTAAATTCAAAGGATTCAAATCTTAATCTGTGAAGAGCTGCAGTAAAATAGAATGATACAGACAGTAACCCAATACAATTTAATACTTGGTGTACAGATAAAAGACTTTAAACTTAGAGTGAATAATATCTGCAGAGAAATCTAGATCACAGAAATACTGGAAGAGCCTTCCTAGATAATGTGGGCTCTTCAAATAAATAGAAAATTAATTCCTTATAGACTGTGCTAAGTGTTAACATAAATATTTATTTGTTGCATAATGATACTGAAGGATGATCCAAACAGAGTTGGCTTCTGAAAATATGTATTCTTGAAAAAACACATGAAGTATTGGGTTTTTTCTAATGGTGAGCTGCTGGTTACATAAAATTTCGTGGTAGTCTCAGATACACATTCTGCAACATTTATTCATTAAATTACTTGGATAATATATCATCAAATGTAGAATCAGCATCAGAAACTAACTTAACTTCCACCTAAATACTGGCAATTTAATACGTAATTAAGTCCTTACTGTAGTAAGTCCATAAGAAGATGTTTCCTTCTAAACACTTGATATTATTGGTTTATCTTCTCTGGAAGTTCTGATTCATTTCAGCTTATCAAAATATACCTGCTTTAATTACCATAGTGTGTATAAATATAATTTGGTTTGGATGTGGAAGTGTATGAAATACAGCTATAATAGAGTTGAAAAATAATGCTCATTAAGATGGCTGGAACTCAGGTAAGTTTTAAACTGCCGCTTCATTCAGCTGAAATAAACAAGTGCCTCTTCCTTGGCCCTTGAGCACCAAGTGGAGAGTGGGAAAAGGTAGCCCATATTCAGGTAAAACTGCAAACAGGCTGTGATTAGTCTGTAGTCAAGACTTCAGTTGTTCTTAGTATGAATATTTGTTCAGGAAGACCAAGCTTAAACATGTATTTTGAAATGTGTGCAAGATGTTAGATTCAGTTAGCAGTATCAGTCTATAAATACCTGTCATTTAATTTGTGTTGATGAGCTGTGTGATCAAGATACATGAGGTATTACAGCATAGGAACAGTATTTTTTAAAATTATTAAATAATTGCAACTGACAGATCAAGTAAAGATTTTTGTCTACTTACCGATGGTTTTGAACAGAAAAACTTTGATACAGGGCTATTTTAAAAGTATTTGCTTAACTTTTTTTAATGTTTATTGTATTATATACATAAGCAATGAAAAGGCTGCTAGATCTTTGAGGCCCTGGGGATTTGTGAGGGTAAATCCTTTAATATGCTTTCCTCTCTGTGTGGAATAATACAAACAAAAGCCAGGTGTTAACTGCTCTTCAATGAACAATTAAACTATTAATACACTGGTTTGAGAGGATGTATATGCATGCTTACAAGGACAATGGCAGACTTCAGGTGTTCAAAAATAAAAACTTGAGTACTTTCAAGACTTGACTTAGAGCTGGCTTTAATAATGGAAAACTACTTAATGTCTCTTTTTTCCCTTTTTTTGCAATCTATTTAATTAAAATATTTTATGCTGATATCATGCTGGATTTAAAATAATTATATTTATATAACTAGCTGTTTCAGAATTCAGTAGGGTTTATATCCAATTAAAAAGGTAATTACAATTAATTTTAGAAAATGGTCTTGATTCATAACAGTAAGAATAAGTATTGCATTGTGTGACAATAGTAATGCTGTTTCATAATTAGCTTTAAAATATTGTACTGTAGACAAGCCACTAGCTGTAAATCTGTTTTGCATATCTGGATACAATTAAGAGATAAAGTGGAGTAATCTCATTATAGAGCTTCTTTGCTTTAACAGAATGTTGAAGAAATAAACAAACATCAGATTAGTTGAATTTCCCCTTGCTGCATGTCTTGTAAGATGGTGTTTCTAATTGTGCAGCCTGTGAATTTGCTGTATTTCCTAAACTTAAAACCTGTCGAGTACATCTGACCATTATTTTGTAGAAGTGGAACATGACAACATTGACTACTCCTTGCTTGCTTGCAGTACACAGTGAATTGAGACATGAATTAAAGCTAATGCTAAATCCCAAATAAAACCCTGATTTGAAGCTAGTAAAGTCAGTGGGAATATTCTTACTGACTACAGCAGGTTTGGATGAGACATGAACGATAGCTATAAAATGCTACCGATCTCATCAGTGCATGTTGTAGCGTGCAGTCATACAGTAAAACAAAAGGAATAAAAAAAGGAATAAACGCCTTTCAAAACATAGACTTTTTGGCAGAGCAGTGATGCTTTTAACAACAGGTCCATGGAAAAGGGAAAAGAGAGGAAAGGTTTTCAATGTCAACCTCTAAAATACTGAATTTAGAATATAGCAAAAATGTGCTACATCTGTCATTTATTTGAAACCTATATGAAAATTATATTCACAATTTATGTGTTGAGAGACCTGCTTTGAGCATTGCAGAAGACTCAGATTACTTTTAAGCAGTTTCTGAGAACCTACTGAACACTCATTCCTTTCCACCTCCCGGAAAAAACAATTACCTTTTAATTAACAATAAATTGCCAGGAGTTTCATCAATATCTAAGTTACCATCTTCAAAATATTTCTGTTCATAACTATTAAAAGATCCCCCTGGACAGGGTACATTGCCATCTCCCCAGTTTGGTTTTCCAAATTGCTAACAGAAGGCTTGGCTCCTAGCTTTGAGATTTCAGGGTGTACTGGGTAGGTAAACACAGAAGTGGTTCTGTGCTTGTATATGCCAGCCAAGCCCATCCTTTTCCCCAATTATTTTTTTTGGTTGGGGATTGCTGTCTGCGTATTTCAGCTTATCTTGCAGTGGGTAGTAAAATCCTGTCCTTTTCTTTGTCACCTTCTAGCCTTTGAGAGTCATTTCTGCATATCAGTTAGTCATTTTCGTTTATGTCTTCAATTAAGATACATGGTTATCTGTTATTTAGTGCTGGGTTTTTGTTTACTTTGTTACAAATAAGTCTTTGCTCTCCAAATTCATTGTTATCTAAAAAGATCACCACTTACCCCTTTAATCATAATGGGCTTAATTATCTATTCTGTATCATGGGTGTTTATCCAAATGATTTCATACGAACAAGATAAACAAATTCTCAGGAAACCAGCATTCTCTTAGGAAATTGTCTATGGTAGAAGATACTTTAAAATGTCATATTCTCACAGGCCTTACCAATTACCACATCTCTTCTTGGGGAAAGCTGTGGAAACAGCACTGTTTCTCAAGCAGGCCCATGTGTTATTTGTTGGCAAGTACCAACTTTTTAATGACAACATCTGTTAATCATCTTTGAACAAAGCTTTGTTAGGAGAGATTTAAGAAGAGGAAAGTCAAGATGTATAAATCTCGAGCATGGATGGGGGAGTTGCTCTGTGATTAGCACTGCTTCAGTCCTGCAGGTTTCTAGGCAAAAGTGCAAGGCAGCATCTTGGTCTGAACCTTGTTCAGTGCTGTGTGATCACGTAAGCTGGTCTTACATGAACTTCGATCACAAAATGAGTCCACTGCTGTAAGTGCTTATTCTTAAACCCTTACTGGACCATGAAGGGTGGTGGTGGTGAGAAGAGCAGGGATTGCTCAGTGCCTTGCAGGATCGAGCCACGGGAATATTTACTACGAGAGGGATTAGCATCCTGCCGTTCACGAAAAGACAGAACAGCAACAGATTCGCATTGCGTCCTGCCTCTCCTCTGTTGAGAAAAGGAAAAATGTTTCAGTCTGGTGAAAAGTGGGAAGGAAGTTAGTGCAGGGGATTTCCTATTCCCAGCTGTGCTGCACAGCTGTATGTTGTGATGAGGCACCACCCAAGCAGTGACAACCAATATTAGATCTCTATTCAGGGAAATCATCAAGTGATTAGCCATTAAAGAAAGTTTAGAGCAAATGTTTAGACCACAGGCAGGGATCTGGATTTAGTGCAAGCCTAAAGTCACCTATACGGAGCTCTAGGCTTTGTGGAAGTCATGGAGCATTCTCTTGAAGAAAGCTTGTGCTGACACCACCTCTTGGCATGGGTCCACACGCATACTGTCTGCGGATGGGAAGGACACAGGCGTTCCTGGGCTTGCTCATTAGCATGTATCACTGTACTTTATATGAAGCTGTATGTTTTGCATAGCCAGTGTAAGACAAACATTAATCCAAACTTCTTTCTAGAGGAGCCTGATACAATATTGTGCAAAGTCATAGGAAATGTAGCTAGTGCTGGACTACAGTTGTCTTCTTGCTGGCAAGGCAAACAAACAGCACAGGTTAAGGAAAACATGTATTTTAGCCTACCCTTGGGCCTTCCTCCACTGAACAGAATAGATAAAGCCAAAATGTCTGCTGTACGTGAACTTTTTTTGTCTTTGCACTAGTGGGTATAATCTATACATGGGTCAAAACAACTCAGCCCTCAGATGGGGCATATATTAACCCCACTCCTTCTGACACTCCTTGAAACTTTAGATCACTGGGAGAGACGTGAATTTTACCTTTCTCCTGGCTGTCTGCCTGCTCCACACAGAGGTGGGCTTCTGCTTTGTTTCCATCCCAAAAGCAGTGAGTTTCCATGGAATAAGTGCCTGACCAGTGCTGGCCCTTGGGCACAGTGGATTTGAACAATAGTTTAAAATTGTAGCTGTCAGTGCAAGCATTCAATAAACAAACACATCCTGTGACATCCCAGCCAGACTTCGAACATGATTGTGTCAAATGTGCTTTATTACTTTGATTTTTGCCAAGTGCTTATCTAATCCCAATAACAGTTTTCTTCTGTACTTCTTCCTAATGCTTTCACGAAGCTCCCTCCCTTTAACAAGTACTTTCTGATTTCAGACACCTCTCAGTCGAATATCCTGCTTACTGTCACACTTGAGCGCCCAGGTGGGAACCTCTAACAACTTTACTTT